CACTCTTTCTAAATGTTCCTATGCAAGTGAGTAAAAGATACGTTCTTAAATATTAACCTTACAACCAAAGGTAGATATACTATTGAATAGAAACTGATGGAATCTCTTTGATAAGAGAAAGGAAGAAAGGAAGATCTGAAATGGATGTGAAAATGAAACAACAGATGCTGCATCACTTACCAGCAGATACGAATGAAACATTCGTTGTGGGGCTTTCAACCCCATCCACCAGCAGCTTCACCTTTCCATTCTGAGGGTGCATATCAATCTCACTGTAAGGAGAAGACCATTCATACCCTGTTTATATCACATTCACATGCATACAGTGACAAAGGCATTTTCCTGCTCACTGAATATCACTGGTCACAGCATAAGCTCATTTCAACTACTTAAATTACATCAGGGTATCCTTGTCACCTGAGATGCCCGATAACATCAGCATCATCACATTCAACACACACAGAGAGCAAATAAGGGAAATGCTGAAATCCCATGGGCTGCTAACCATGGCAGCAAAGCCCACATCTGAGCTGCTGTCATGTTAAATGTGGACAGTGTAGTCTCTCACGCTCACAGCATCTGGCAGGAGTTACTTACTGAGTGCCAAGCTTGATGTTGATTGCTTTCAGGTTCACAGCTTCTTCAGCCTTCCTCATCATCACCAGGAACTTAAGGTCAGAGCTGCAGTCCTGAGCCAAGATGTGGTAGCAGTTTGCTGGCATTGTGTAGTTAAACTGAACTTCATTAAAGGTTTTGAACTTGTTGTGGGAAACTGAGCAGCAAGCTGTTTAAATAAAATGCCAGTGAGTATTTGATTTTCCATAAAAGAAAGCCATTAAAGGGCATATTTTATTTTTAGCCCTATATTATTTAGCTTTATATTTTTCCCACTGTTCATTATTTTTGTATGGACTTGGCTACAAATTACCCATAATTTGTATGGATTTTGGCTACCAAACATCCATAAATTCTAAAAAAGGCATGGAAAATATACTCCTCTATCTAGCAAAAAATAATTGCCAGGAAGTTTAAGTGTTATCAGTTAATAACATTGATAATTTCTGTCTTCATCCCTGAAACGATGACGATTTCTGAACTATATGCACAATATTCTGTCCCAGTTGAACCATTCTTGCATTATTAGAGCACATTTTCTAATTAAGCAGAGACAAATAATCCCAGAAAAATTCAGGTGGACTGGGAATATCATGCTTATGAACCTGATTAGATCCTGACCTTTCAAACTGTTGTATACTGCAGAGGGGCCTTCAGCAAACACATTCCAGATGGGAGGCTGCAGCTCTGAAGCTGGTATCCTCGGACCTACAGGGAGTGACAGTGGAAGCCTCATGGCTTTTTCATAGAGGATCATCTGAAAAGGAATTCAAAAGCATACTCAAAACACACTTATGCCAGGTATTTACAGCAAACAGCTGTGAACAGCCTTTTCTCCTATTTGTAATCTGATTTCTTCTACTTTGGTTGACATAGGCTTTATGTGAACACAACTCATCTGATTCGCTATCCATAAACTTTTTGCTTCTGCTTACAGTTTTCTCTTATCCTGTGTGTCATCATTCAGATATTATTTAGGAAAGAATGAATTAATCCCCTTTGAAGGTGGCTAGGCAAACACTACTACAGCTGGAAAAGCATTATAAGTACCCATAGTGCTTTCTTGTTCCGTGAACAAAATCACTCTCAATATTCTTGGATGTCATCTAAAAAGGTTGAAAACAAAGTTGTTTTCATCATTTGCACTCAAACTAATGCTTACTTTCTTTTTTTCTTTCTTCAGAATTGACCCACTGTAATTAAAATGCAACAGTCTCACTTTTCTACTAGGAAAAAAATAGGAGAGTGATAATAATATTTCATAATTACATCAGGAAGCTTGATAACAACATCACATGTCCTCGGAGAAGTTAGAGCCACGATCACCCTGGCTTGTCGAGAAGGATTCCTCTCCATTTTTTCAGAGAACCCCAGCATAAATGCAGCCCCAGGGACAAACTTGTAAAACCTTCAAAAATTCAAATGAGAAAGATCTGTTGAAATGGAGAAACAAAAAGCAGCGCACATCCCAACCAGGCTGTCTCATATCTGTGCCTAAGTAGCACACAGAGCCTTCAGGATTAGGCCCCCATAATCCCACTCTGCTTTAGTATCAAGTGTTCAGTGAAAGGAAGGATCTGTTCCTCAATTTTCAGTATGTCCAGTATAAAAAATTACTGTACATTATAGTAAGCTGGCTCTGATTTCTCACTCAGCTTTATTTCCGAAGGCTGTACTTGGACAGATCAGAGAGTAAAATTATAGCCAATACTTTAACCACTAGAACATCATGAGTGGATGCTGATTTTTCTCAGTTGACTGGTATCGTGAACAAGTGTCACTAAAGGGTAAAACCTCACCATTCTGCTATGGATCTGACACTTGAAGGAACTTTAGGCCACTCCAGTTTCACTTGTACAGCAGGGTGGGCAGCAAACCGTCCAGTTACCAGCTCAGTCGAAATCTTGTAGTCCTGGCAATTCCAGCCCCATTTCAGGTAAGCCTATAATGGAGCAAGAAACGGTCCAGTTTTAAATGCATGGAATATGGTTTTCCTGTAATGCTTACAGCTGTATATAACTATTTTTGAGCCTTACCACTGCTTTGTGAGCATTGAGGACTGAAGCATCAGCACAGAGCTTCCATTTGCTTGAATCTGTGAGGTTTGACACAAATACCTGCATCCGGGGCCTGATGGAGTCAATATCAGCATATACCACAAGCTGGAAGCCTCCTGTCTTCTTCTCGTCACGAACGCCATGAAGAAAAACAGCTAATACTGGTGTTTTAACATCTCCCAAAAACTTAGTCTAAGAAGGGGAAGAAAGTATGAAAATAATAGAATTATGAGTTACTGCAAACATTTTAGATGCAAGATTTAAATGGGTAAATGAAAAATAAGCAACCGAACTGCAAATATGTACCAGCATATGTACCACACACATACATACACACTCATACATTCTTATGCATATGTCTTTAATGTTCATGTGCCTCTGCATGCACAGATGGATTTTATCACTGCATTATACAGGAGTCAAAATTTGTGCCATTTCCTGAGCTACAGCTGATGCTGTGGAAATATTACTATCATTAGGATACAGTAATGACTATATGATTTGGGCTTCATTGTTAACACCATGTGTTTGCCTGTGAATGAAAGGAACTTGCTCAACTGGACTAACAACATCAGCTGCCAGTTGTATTCATCACTCATTCTCACAGCAATAATGTCCCCTAGCTAGCGTCCTCCTCTTTGTCTGCCTGGTTGGTCTCTTGGCTTTCACCTCACACTTCAGCTGTGAGTTCTGTGGGGCAGGCAGGTTTTGTGTTTGCACAGCACCCTAGCGCAAAATTTCATCCAGGACGCTGTCTTCAGCATCAAGAACCTTCCCTCTTGACAGCAGGGCCTTAAGCATTCTATGGCCTGCAGTTCCTTCACTCTGTCATTAGACTTTAATTCATCACTTGCCCCAGGGAGCAAGACTGCATACATCAGACTGGGTGGTGGTGAGGAGCCAAGGTACTGCATGTCACCTCTGAAGCATGCCTTCTTTTGAGGTTTCTTTTTGCCTTGGCCTCCACCACTTATGTCTTTGCAGTGACAGTGCAGCACCTCAACTTCCCTTCTGCTTGCAGAGGTCACAAGATCAGTCTCTGCAGGCATCTGATGGGTAGGATTCCAACGAGGGCAGTGTTGTGGTGCAAGTAAGAAGGGTCCTCAGCTTGCTGCAGAGTAAAGTGTGTGTGGGAACCATGGTGTGTGTCTCACTCTTGACTGATACCTGAGACTTAAGAAGCTAGTATTTCCAACCACTATTGTGAGTACATGGCTACTTTGCCATTCTTCCCAGCTGACAAAACCCTCCCAAAATGATGCAACCAACTAACCCAGGAAGCAGCTCGAGATGAGGCGTGACTGGATCTGGTAGAGGAGTATGTGCTGCTAAGTTGGTCATCTGGGATTTTCCTTCTTGGGAACTGCAAGAAGAAAATAACATCATGCTCAAGAGGATAACTTAAAAGCTTGCTTGAAGAAATTGCACTGGCAGTTCTGCAGAATACTCCCTGTCATGGCACTTGGTGTTGGCAAACTTGTTCCAAGCAGATAAATTACTTGCAGTATGTTTTGTCCTGCTTAGTACAGGTGATCTAGCTCTGAAAAATCTTGGTTACTCAAATATATCTGACCTCTCAGAAAAGATAAATGAGGAGCATGTCTAGATGAGAATTCCTTGCATAAAAAGAACAACAAGAGCGACTCAAATTGAACAAGCCTCTCAATTCAATATAACAGACCAGAACTGATTCATTTTCCTTCCTGATCAACTGGAAGACACTGAGTGTAATAATGGAATGGAAAGGATCAGCTGAATGGACACACATAGCTGAACTTTTTACCTTTAAGGAACACTAATATCAAGTACATTGCTCCTGGCTAGCTTACACCCTAGTAAGAAACTTCTGCTAAACTAAAGTATCATAAAATAAGGTATCCTCCCATGTTTGTCAACATCACTATCCTGGTGTTTATCAACAGTAATTTCAATCCAAAAAACCAAGCAATCAAAGCCAGTCAAATGACTTAAGCTCTTGATGGTAGGATCTTTGTTCCTACAAAGTGTGCCCCCACTTGTACTGCTCTGTGTTGTGCACATGATGCCAATTGTGGCTCTTCAAAGTACATGCAAATCTCTACCAAAGGAGAACATAGCCCTCTGTCGTTACACATCTCAGAACAGCCGATTTGGTGTTCTAAATATTATCAGTGCTGTAATTTTCCTCAACAAAGACTGTAAGTTGCCTTTCCATTTGACTCATGACAGGTTCTATACTTAATTTACTGAGGGAAAAAAAAAACTCACCTCTTGTCTATGTGCTGATTTAAAGCGATACTTATAAATCTCGTGATCTCCCTTTGAAAATGACAAAAGCAAAAAGATTAAGAGCCTCAGAAGAAAAGAAACTCTGTAGTTACATTGAAATCTGAGCACTAGGAATTAAGTAAGGATTTTACTAATTATCATTCATGCATAGGTCTGTATGCTTAGTCACTAGCAGGTAATGCAAGACTTGAAGTAGTTTATATAAAGTAGTAATGTTCCTACTTCAAAATTAAGACAAACATGCAATGTATATTGATGGAAAGTAGTAAATTAAAAAAAAAAAAAAGGTTCCCTGCCTGTAACAAAAGTTTCAGCCAACTTGTGGAAACTTTTGAGGTGTTTTGATGTAGACATCTGAGCCAGATTGCAGGTGTGTTTGCAGAATAAGTATTGCAATTTTATGTTGCTAAAATTTACTGTGTCAACTTATAATTTCCTGAGTTATGATGCAAAGCCAGCTGCCACCAGGAATGTGATTCATGAACATGAGTAGCATCAGACAATTTATTGTAGTTACCCATATTTTGGAATATGCACTGCTGCTGCTGCTGTCACTTTCCAGATGTCCCGAACGATGTCCGTGGCTATGGTGACTCGATGACTTGCTGCTGCTACTGCTGCTGCTACTGCTGCCATTCAGATACCTTGAGTGATGCCCATGGCTATGGTGACTCGATGACTTGCTGCTGCTGCTGCTGCTGCT